AAAACATTTCTAATCACAAACTAATCAGTCAATCACACCGCGTGACCTCCACAATGGCACGTGATTTCCCGCCAGTTGTAAATGGGACCAGGTACCCTATACATTTTTTTTAAAAACCCGTAACCTCATGCGCAACTTTTGGATAAAGCAAAAACATAGTATGTTGCAATTGGAAACTTCGGGAAATGTAACGACAACTGTCTATGAAAAGCCTCCTTCACACATCACGATGTGTCAGTGTCACGGGCATGTCTCGGATGTTTTTAAATATGAAGATCTAGTGATCGTTTATGCCCCTATCGACACAATTCAGAACATTTAGATCAAGGAGACAGGCTTCCGACACTGCCTGTCAGGGCCAAACCAGGTTATAAACTCAATGAACACACTTACTTTTTCACAAAAGAATATGGAGCAACAAGCAACACCCCCTCCCCTGGGGCAGTGCTACTGACTGAAGTGTCTCTAGGCCATCCCCAAAGGGGGGATATTAACATGTTCTTACGAACAGTAGAATTGTAAATAGGCCGATTTATCAACGTCATGCTCATACTGGGCCGAAACAACACAAAGGGAACTGCTGCTTTTTCTTTACCCATCCTTACTATCATCATTTTCCCTCTACATCTTTTGTATGTTTGTCAGTCTTTTGTGAACTGTCTTTTCTGAGGTGCCTTGATAGTCGAAGCAGATTTTGTGCTGTTGGTGCTAGAGAGGTGAACAGAGTAAGCCTGATTCTCCGTTTATACTTCTCTGTTGACATCCACTTCTTGGTGTTCATATGAACTTAATATGCAGTTACGAGCGCCGTAAAACCTCAATAAAACTAACTAAACAATAAGTAAGGAAGAATCAAACGGTATCACATTGTTGCCAAATAGGCCCTAGTGAACTACTTGGCACATAAGAGAAATGATGACGTCACGTCATGGGGTCCTCTCTCTGATCCTGCTGGCTGTGGCTTTGAGGTCAGCGTGAAGTCAGGCGAGAACTGGGTCCTGATACTGTCCGGAGCTAAGGGTTACATCAACTACTGCACTCAAGTAAATGACCCCATCGAATCCAGCTCATTTAGAAGGCGGAATTCGACCCTACCTGTCGGGGCTAACCCGGGCTGAGAAGGATACAACGTCCCAGCATAACAACGGTGAGAGACTCGATAAAAATCCCCCACTTGGGAATGGAAATCCTGTCTCCTGCGTACGACGGTGAAGCCCCAGGCCGATACACCACAGACGCCAGTCCAGTAGAAGATGCGAGTAATAATGCTTTCCACAAATCTCGTAGAAACGAAGTTATGTATCGATGGACTGCAGCACACTATCATAACTCGGGTTTTTTTTTTCATTTTTGAACGAAGAACCAAACGAAAAACAACAACAACAAAAAACAATCTACTTTTCACCACTATAATATTATATCTATAAACAATCAACACTATTTCATAACTTATTTTCAATATAAACTATAAATTATTTTCACCATACTTGTAGATTCTCTATAATCGTACGGTTACGGTATTTTTACAGGCCATGCGCCCCTTCCCAGCGCTCTCGAATGTGTTGTTTTTTCTAAAGTCATTTTTTCCAAACCCCCGAGTTACGATACTTGAGCTGCCACCTCGAGATATTATAATTACTATACTATGCAGCAACCTCGGGGACGCATATTGACGTAACAGACTACAGTCAGTCTTGTTGAACATCATCATGTCTTTGTCCCCTTTACCCGTTACACACCTCAACCACAGGACATGTAGTGTAGACTTTTATACCCATACAGACCACTTTTTTATACAAAGGATTTCGTCCTTTTTTGCTCCATGTATACTCGAACCTGCTCTAACGAATACCTGCCCAAGACTTCCACCTGTACAAAAGACCTTCACCCC